ACAGATAAGAGAGAAGGATAATTTCACGGAGCATTCCTGATTCAAAACCATGAGAGAGGGCCGGGGATCTAGCTCAGTGGTTCCACTGCCTGCCTCGCAAGCTGAGGACCCGAGTTCGATCCCCGGTACCAAAAAAAACCCCATATAAAAACATGAGAGAACCACGGAGAACTGCAGTAATTATAATACAGATACTGGGTAAAGCAAGCGCCTTTCAGCCAATCATTTGAACTCTCAACCCCCAACTGGTAGGCCTTACATGGGCCGGGAAAGAAAGCAGCAACCAAAGTCTGAACTAAGAATGACAGGTTAATGATTTATTTTAAAAATCCAGCTCTCAGCCCTTGAGAGGCTGAGACAAAAGGATCATAGGTTCAAGGCCAGCCTGGGCTATCTTTAAAAAAAACACAACCTATGGGACTGTCAAGCAAGATTCATTTTTCAAAATATACACCAAAACTACAGTGTCCAAACAAGTGCTATCCTTTCAAAAAGGGAATCATTCTTCCACAAACTTGTCTGCCACTTCTCTTCTGGAAATGCCCTCCAAACCAGTTTAGTCATCCTAACTTTCTGACAATTACAATTGAAATCAGCTTATAATCAATCTAATTTTTTCAGTCCACAACTAGTTTGAGCTCCAAAAGAACATAATCCACTTTTTTCTACTTCAAGTAACCTATGAAACACCACCTTCAAAGCACTGAAATCTGCAACTACAGATTTTCAAAGGAATGTTGTCACCAGCTCTCACAATCCCTAAAATTGAATTCCAATGTGAAAAGAGTACAGCACAGCAAAAATACATGCGCCCAAGTTTTACGAGGCAGATCACTTAATTAATGCCCATCTTTGGTTATTTAAAATCTACAAGGGCTGGAGATTTAGCTAAGTGGTGCACCACCTGCCTCGCAAAGGCAAAGACCCAAGTTCGATCCCAGGTACCAAAAAAAAAAAAAGTCTACAGAAGGCTGCAGACATAGCTCAGTGGTAGACTGCTTGCCTAGCACTGGATACTCACCCCCCTCTCCAAAAAAACTATAGAGCTGGGTGTGGTGACACATGACTATAACCCCAGCACTCTGGGAGGCTGAGGCAGATAGGAGCTCACCCTGGGCAACTCAGTCACGCTGTCACCAAAATAGGGGGTGGGGGAGTAGCTTAGTGCAAAGCCTTTGCATCCAATCCCCAGTACCATAAAACAAAAGCCTAGCACAGTGGCACACGCCTGTGACCCCAGCTACTAGGGAGGCTGGGGGAGGCATACTGCAAATTCAAGGCCAGCCTGACCTGTGTCAAAAATATTTTTTTAAAAGGCCAGGCATGGTGGCACATGCCTATAATCCTAGCACGGTGGAAGACTAAGGCAAGAAGAGTGAAAGTTGGAGCCCAGCCTGGGCAACTTAGTGACTTAGTGAAACTCAGTCTCAAAAAATATAAAAAGGCTGGGAACGTAGCTCAGTGAGGCTATAGGTTCAATCGCAATATTGGCCAAAAAATAAAATGAAGGACCCCAGAAATATCTGATGATGCAAGTAAGGAAAGAGAAAATGTGTCTATTTTTGTTGTTTGTGATCAGAGAAGTGTTCATACAAGAAAAGAGAGGATTTCTTCTGGTAAATATTATTTTATTTTAAATACCTTTCCAGTCCAGCTTTGGATGTTCTCCGACACAGAAAGACTTGAGTTCCTCCAGAAGTGCCACAGATGTATGTGATTAACAACCTTCTTTCCTTCACACTTAGGTTGAACTGTACAGGCTAAATCACAGCCCTCTCTACTAACCACACAATCCAATCTTGTACTTAAAGTTCTCTGCTATTCCTTTTTCACAACAACAAAGCAAATAGCTTCCTCTTTTCTTAGAAGGCAGCCTGGTCTCATGCACTGTTCTGTTGATATTTTTAAGTGATTTCCTTACCAGGCTCAGCACACAGAGAGCTGGCACAGTACCCTGCTCATCTCTGTATCTCAGCTCAACAGCATACAGACACGATGGATTTGAGAGAGATTTTGGAAAGAGAATCAACAGGACTATTCAGAATTACATATACAACTGTGTATTTCTTTAGACTAAAAAAATAGTTAACAGCTTCTGTAATAACAGCTTAGATATTTACATCATTCAGATGCCATAATTACATGGCAGCATGAGATACTAACACTTACTGGATGTGTTAACTTTAGACAAAACACTACCTTTCTTGGTGTAAGTTTTCCCTTCTGCTGAACAGGAAAGAGGAGCAGGGAAGGATAATGATCCCTATTCTACCCAATCATTAAGTTTAGTGAAGCTTTAATTACAATGTATAAGAAAATCATTTTACAAATATATTAGTGGACAGATTTAAAAACTAATTCTCAAATTAGTGCTACTTTATGTGCATATGAATAAAGTACAGACAAAAGAGCCTGTTGTCAAATACATAATAGTACATTCACAGATCATGAACAATTCAATTATGAGAATATATGTAGAAACATACTACCTACTCAACATCTATTGGAAAAACTCACAATTACATGTTAATTCAATTCCGAAATGCTTTTCTAGAGTTTCAGACTGTCCTTTTTGGTGCAAACAGAAGGTTTTAAGCACCACGTCCACAGTGACCTGCCAAAAGCACCAGACACATGATAAGCCTCTGCAACACTCTGCGGCAAACAGCCCCAAGGAGGCACCAACCCGTATTTCTGCACAGAGTTGGCTTATCTATGACCAGAGCCAGCAACTGAGCACAGAGGCAAGCGGGAAGAAAATTCTTTAACAGTATACAACTCAGATCGTCCCTATGATTAGGACTTAAACTGAAAAAGCATGAATGAAATTGAGAATGACTGCACCAATGCGACAGGACATGACAAACAGTTACCACCATCTTTTTGTTTTTCTTAAAGTACTTTTGTAAGAAAAGTAAATATAGAAAAAATGTGAAACAAAGGTTAGTCCAAACTATGCTACAGATATCTCAAGTAACACCACAGATTAGAAGGCTGCTGGACTGTGTGGGCTTGAATTCCTAATGTCTACCTGCTTTGCAGTCAACCATCTCTGCACCTTAAAAAGAGAGAGGATGGCCAATGCTTACACTGCAGGCCAGGCCCAAGGTTTTTCAACTGTATTTTTTCCAGAGCTAAAGAAAATAAAATACAAAGTAACACATTATAAAAGCAGAAAAAACAAACTGAAAGTCCTGCGCACACGAAAAACGAACCATGCACTTGTCCTTAAGATGTTTAAGCACTGGCATTCACAGCTTGTTGGGAGTTTCACACATTTCTAAAGGAGCAAAGGGTGACCTAATGGGTTTTCTGCGCCTAGAAATAGTTCCTCAAATGCTTCTAGCGATTACGTCTAGAAATACCAGAGATGTAAGTAAAATTAGCTGGAACCAAATAGGCACCCAGGATTTCCCTTTCCTTGTGAAAGCAATCAACTCCTATTTCTAATCTCCTCTGAGGTAAACATTCATCCAAACCACTTCTTCTAATCAGAGCTACCTGATTTGTTATTATAAAGTAACTATTTTAAGAGATTTCAGGACAATCTTTCAGGAAAAGAATGAGATCGCTTAAGAGTGTAATTTGAGGGGGTTAAAAAAACTTGGAGAAATTTACATTTTAACAAACTAATAATCATTCAAGTGTTCTGCCAGCGGTTTCAGGTCCGCCTGGTGAATATTTCAAAGGAAAGTCTGCACTGGGCAGAAAAGCCCAAAGGATCGCTATCTTCCTAAACACTTCCCAAATGATTAATTGAAAAATAATACGTTGGTAATTAAGTGCAGGTGAAAACAGCACCTCCCTACACATTGGGAAAGCCTAAAAGGCTTATTAAAGATAATTATTTCCTTCAATGCCCGATTTATAACACTCAAATCTACTTCTGGTTTTTAATTGCAAATGATTTTGAGAGGGGGAAAAACCATAATGTCTTGATTATACAAAAAGTCGGAACTCTCCTGGGAACCTGTCACATTCTTTTTTTCCAATCAACAGTTTTTAATTCACTTCAAAAATGGTAGTGAAGGCCTCTAGCAAGGAACTAAATATGTAAGTCTGGAGACACCACCACAGTACTGATACCAAGCTTGGAAAAATGCTGCTTTTGTCTCAGAGGCGGCCTGTGACAAAAACAGGAACTTTACAGAGAACTGACCAAAACTGCACACAAGCCTGATCACATGCCCACAACCGACCAGTTTCTCATTGTTTTTCAAGGAACCGCTCTGATAGTGGCTTGATTTATTCCATTTTTTAAATTCTCAAAATAAATCCAACCTTTCCACTACCCTGTCGGCCAGGGTTTGCTCGTAACCGACAGTCACTTCTCCCTCCCTCCTCAGAGACTCCAAAAGGTGATCAAGAAGATTCGGAAAATTCAGCGCGAACACAAGCACTAGGGAAACCCCCTGATGACAAAGGTGGTCTAAAGGCAGGGCGGTGCATCTCTCCGGGTTAAGTGCCACAGCTTCCATCCTCCCTTGGCACCTCCAAAGGCTCCCCGACTCCTAGCTCACTCCAGTCGTGAGGAGGCACCTCGCATTGTTAGAGGAGGAGGAAGAAACGCAGCCGCGGCTTTCCGGGATCTTGCTTCTTGAAGAGAAGGTGGGCTGGATCTATCGTGGGGCCCTCCGGGAAGGCAGAAGAGGAGAAAGGTGTCAGCCGCCCTCCTGGCCGCCATCCCCTCCCGCCCAGACTCCCGGACACAAGCGGGAGAGCGCAGCTTTGTCCGGGGTGTGGGGGGCCGGGAGCGAGGAAGCAGCCGGGGCCGGCCGGGAGAATCTCTCCCCGGTCCCAGCCTAGCTCCCGCAAAAGAAAACAATGCCTCGAGAAACACGTCGGGAGGGCAGAGGAGAAGGGCGGCGTGCAGCCAGGCCACAGTCCCTGCCGCCCGCCATCGCCGGCCCAAGCGCGCAGGGAGAGGCTCCGCCCCCGCGGACCGGACCCCCGGGACCCCCGGGACCGAAGCCCGGCGCCCGCTCGCGCCCCGCGCCTACCCTCCGAGAGCTCCAGCTCCAGCTCCGCCAGCTGGGCGCGCACTTCGGGCGGCAGCGCCGCCACCGCAGCCGGCGATGGCTCCAGGCCTCGCTCCGCCATCCCGGCTCCACCAGCCGCACTCCGGAAGACAACAGAGGGGGCCGAAGGACGGACGGACTGACGCGAGCCCACACCCGGGCTAAAAGATCCGGCTCCGGCGCTCGGCCACAAGCGCCGCCGCTACCGCCGCCGCCATGAGCGAGGGTCACGTGAACGCGAGGCCCCGCCCCAGGCCTGGGGATGCCCCGTCCCCGCCGCCCAGTTGGGCAGAGGACTCGAGGGCCCGCGTCGCCCTCTGCCGGGAGACTCCTGGCACTACGCACTCAAACCCCTCGGGAGAAATGGACTTGTGTCCATGGGCTGTGCCACCGCGAGAGCACACAGCAGATTCAAAAGCAAGGAGTTTTCAGGAGCCTGGGTATTACTATTTCCAGTCTTCTTCTTCACTTAGTAGTGTTTGCCTTTGTCGTCCTCTCCCATTCCTGATGGACATTTATAGGGACTTTTAGAAAGGCCACCCCCTTCCCTGGGACTTAGCGGATTTCATCTGCCAGGGAGCTTTATCTATTTGGGTTACAGCTTTTTTTTTTTTTTTCCTCGGTACTGGAACACAGGACCGTCTGGTCCTTAACACAGGACCATCTTACTGAGCTACATCCTCAGCCCTTTTGGCGGGGGGGGGGGGG